AACTGGCAGGAGATTTTTATTCCTTTTCTAAATGAAAGAAACATAAGATGCCTATTATTTCAACATTTCAAAACAGTACAAACTCTTGTATGTCTAGAAAGCATAAGATTTAATCACTGGAAAATTGAATCATTTAACTTTAAAGGAACAGTGGTTTGTTAGGTACCTGCACAATGCTTAGGAGAATACTACCCCAACAAGGGCCACACATGCTAGGAAACCACCCAAAAAAGAAATGCAGGATTCAAGGTGCTGGATTAACAGACATGAGCTGTAAATTTGTCACTTAGCAGAAGAAATGCTCCCTCAGTACATCTAACCAGTGTTTCTGAAGCAATCACCTGAAACAGTAATAAAGTTGTTCAATCCTTGCTCTCCCAGTTATAGTATATTATGTTATTCAGGCATGGACTATTTTCAAAATCCAGCATCTAAGTATCACTAAAAAGCTAGAAAGTAGCAGTATTGCTTCACTTCCACCCCACCAAAGAGCAATCCTTCTCCATCTACTAACCTCACCTTCTCTGATCAGTCCTGCAGACTCTTCCTTGAAAGAGTCAGTCTTCCCCCCACCTCTCTGCTCAAATTTTAAGTGTCTCCAGCACTTGCTATTGTAGAATCAAATCAATTTAACATCAAAGCTAGAACGCATGCAAACTTCCCTCTTCTCTTCTTTCTCCGCACCAACAAAATTTTGGGGAGGGAAGAGAGGGATGGATTACTTCCAGCTGGATCAGTGTTTTCAGCCAGCTCACCACTAATGGCAATGCAGGAGATGGCATGGTACAAGTTTAATGCTAGACCCATTCAAACCAGAGGCAGAGATGGTCAACTTAAAACAGAAGCAGAGCTGCATCTACTAAGCTTCCAAAAACCGAAGGGGATGGTCAGACATTATATTTCAGGAATATAACGTGTTCCAGGAATGACAGTACAAACCTCAACATTTGCCTTTCTCTATTACAGTTGTGCATTCCTGGAGGTAATGAGCAAGTACAGTAGGCGTAAATAAAAACATTAAAGTTTTCACTAGCAGCTAGGGACAGCTTAGCCTAGAAAGAATGCTAATTTAGCTGCCCTTACATGCAAACTTGAAAATAATATGAAAGATTAATAGCTGTATGTACAAATATCACGAAAAAGTACTTGGAACTGGGTTCCAATTAGGCTCTGCTTGTGATCTGACCACTCAAACTATCTGTAAAGAGCTTAAGAAGTCCAAAAGTGGGAAAGAAGTTACAAAGAATATATATTTTTTTTAATTAGGAAGTTACGTTTCATATGATGGAGACACTCAAAGGTTTACAAATACCTGTTAAAATTATATTAGGATCACAATAATCTCATCACCAAGAAAAAAAAAGCAGCATCACTATTTGTGATGGTCATTTGCTTCTGTCTCCTGCAACTCTCTACTTAAAAAAAGATAAAAGGTTTGTCAGGATGACTGAGTTTTACTTATAAAAAGTCTTTGAGGAACAAAGAGGTTCCCATTCTTTCTTTCACTCAGAAATATGACCCGATTTCATGTTACAGGCAACATATTTCAAGATGCTGAAACTAAAATTAACCCCATCCAATAGCATCAAAAGTTGTTCATATGTTCAATAAGAGATTGAATAAACCCCTTTCTATCAGAAAGTATGGCTGAATATTATGAGAACTGCCGATAAGACTGCAGATTTATTTACTATTAAATCTGAAGACATTTAGCATTCCTAGTTAGTGCTTAATTCTTACAATTACTTTCCAAGATGACAGTTTATCACGGGATATATATCAGTGCAAACACATAGCATAGTTCAAAACCCAAACAACATGCAATGTGTCTACTAACATAAAGCACCCACTGAAACACAACTGAATGACCAAAAGAACGACTGTGTTGTTATCAAATCACAGTATCTCTGCCTCTTCACACACACAGTCATCCCCCTTCCCCATTCTTCTGGGGGGCAAGGAGAAAGATTGGAATTCAACTGCATTAGGCCAACTAATTACTTTGATTCAGAGAACAACATTCTCCAAATTACACTTCAGCAGAAATGTCACCAACCATTGATGGTAAAAAAATTTCCTGTGATGATTTTTCTGTTATAAAATATAGACCAAACACGTAAAAAGCGAGGTATTCAGACAGCAAGAGGCTTTTAACAATGAATACTTTCACATTAAAAAAACAGAACCCGAGTTCAAATCTTGCAGAAAGCCCTTTTTCCTCTCCTTACATGGGTTTTAGGGAATCACTGGTAAGTTGCCCACTCAGCAAACCTTTTAATAAACTTTACAGTAGTTTTCCCTTGTCCTTAACAAATAAAATCAGCAGAACACAGTAATTAGATTCTCGTCCCAAAGCAGTATGAGCTGTGTATTTTAATCCTCTAAATATGTAACTTAATCATGCCCATTGCATATATATTAAGGAGGAAGAGGAAGTTTTACCAGCAAAATCCTTTATTCTCACAGGCATTACGTTAATCTTTTCATGCCAGGAGGCAGATTTCCCTAAGGTAACGCTGTCAGCAACAGAGGCACTGAAGCCACAGGTACCAACCAGTTTAAAACAGATGGATACAAAATTCCACTGAACCCTGAGTGCTATGTTAACATCTGCTTGAATTATCTTCCAATTTCACTCATTTTCTTCTTTAAATTTTTGTTTATAGTTAGTGAGACCCAAAAATTATGCCTTGATTATAAGCAATACAAACTTTCAGTTGAAGAATACACAGAGTGAGAGCATCTCATAACTCACGCAGTCAACCACTGCCATTTGCAGGGTCCTAATCTCTAATATCCAGTTCAGAGACAGCAAACTGGAAAAGAAATGCTGAGAAGTAAAATACAGCTCAACATTAAGTTATGCTGACACGGCTGTTAGAAGCTCACGGTTAAAACTTTCCATGTCACTCAAAGACCACTTCCAGTTTTAACACCAGCAGGAACACAATATGTGCACTCTCCCTTCAACAAACTCGAAATGTTCGTAGTCTGAATATCTTAGTAAAGTCAAATAATATTAGAAAACCAATCAAGAACGTTTGTAAACCAGCCTCTGCACTTGCATATACCAGAAGTCTCAGTGCTCTGTTTTTACAACTCCTATGCACCACAGGTTAGGTTCAGAATGGCATTTTTTCACATCCTTGAGACCCTTTACTAAGTAAAATCAAATTATACAAGTTCTGTGGCCTTATGCATACCAGACAAAGTAGTAAGGTGTAGTAACATCTTGCCAGGCAGATGTTACTCTAAAAAGGCCTTCTTACTGCAGGAAAAGCCACAGAAACCTAAAACAAGAGTTTTCAAGTCCACCGTTATTGTTTAACTACAGCTCAGTGACAGCCTACGAGATCACTAATTACACTCAGGACATAGCATCTCACATTCAAACTGAGTAAAACAAATTACCCATTTGCCATTAAGAACTGCCTTTAACTTTTTTTTCCACTTTACCCTGTGGTTTCTTTTCGAATGCCGGGTGTTGGTAAAACGTTTGAAGCAGAAATTAAACGTGAAGAAGATGCTAATTCGCTGCAGCAGAGCTACTCACTATGGGCACCACTACCGCTGCTCTTCCCTCTTCCCAGGCGCCTGTCAGAGGGCACTCGCAGGCCAGCCACTGCTCCTGATCGCTCTGAGCACCCCAGCTCTTTCAGGAAAACGCGTTTAGACACACTACAGAAATATTTACCTTCCCTACGCTGACCTCTCCCAGGTCCCATGATCTCGCAAAACACACACACAAACTCAAAGGCCAAGGCTGCCGCGGGCAGCCCCTTCTGCAGACTCCCCAGAGCGTATCGATCAGCTCCTTTATCATTCCGGGCGTGCAGGCAGCACAAGGAGCCACACAGAAGTGGTCAGGACCGGTGGCCGGCGGCACACCGCGGGGGGTGACAGCCATGAGATGATGAAGAGGGGTATGAGCAGGATGAGCCGCCCTCCGCGCTTTCCCCGCGCCCTGCCCCGGCCCCCGGCCCGCCCCAGGCCGCAGCTCGCTCACCCACCCAGCTTGCCGCGGGACTCCTCCAGCTTCTGGATCTGGTTCTCCAGGAAGAGCACGGCCACCCCGAACACCAGCACCGCCAGAAGCTGCAACTTGGGCGGCAGCATAATCCTGAGCAGCCCCATGAGCAGCAGCAGCCGCCGCCGCAGCGCCGCCCGACCGGGATCACGACATAACGCGGGACCCGGCCGCGGAGGCCGGCGGGAGCCGCTACCACAGGGACGGCGCGAGAGAGGGGAAGCGAAGAGAGCGCGGCTGAGAGGAAGGGGGCCAGCCACCGCCTTCACATCGCCCCGCAGGCAGGCGGACAGACAAACGACTGAAGGACCGACCGACTGCCTGCCTGCCTCTCCGGTCCCCGCGCCCGTCGCCAGCAGCCACTAGCGGCCCTCCCCCGCCTGCGTGCGCTGCTCAGCAACCGAACGCCCCACCACACGCTCGCCGCCGCCGCTTCCCGCCGCCGGCACCCGCCCCCACGCCCTCCGCCATTGGGCGGTGCTATCACCACCCCGCCCTCTCCAGAAACGGCACTGGCAGCACTCAGGCGACGCCCCGCCCACAACGCGCTAATTCCTCAGCGTCCCCACCTCAGCCCTGAGCTGCCGGGTTGAGGCGATGTCCCGCCTACATGCGACCCTTCGTGATTGGGAGGCACTTCTTGAAGTCCCGCCCATCACCTCACGCTCATTGGGCAGAGGCACGGCGACACTCGCAAAGGCACAACACTATTGGTCACGCCGCCTGTCAGTCTCCGGGGTTAGGGGCTTATGTGCCGGTAGGCAACACCTCTCCGGAATGGGAAAAGGTCTGGTTTAGGGGTGTTTCTGCAATGTCTGACTAAGGCTGGGGGCCGGCCTCGCCTCTAGGCTCGCTGTGAAGCGCTGCTCTGATAGACTAAATCGGTTCTGCTCTAGGCTTTCCACTGGTGTTCTGGTTTAGCTGCCTCTGCTGTGGTGCCAGGCGCAGGCTGCGGTCTCCCGTATCAGGCAGCGTGTCGGGCATCCCCAGTGGGTGAGGTCCTTCTGCGGCCTCCCGGCGACGCTGGTAGGAGCGATCTGGCACCAAGATGGCGGCGGCCGCGGAGAAAACGGCCCTGGGGCGGTGCTGGTTCTGGCTGCTGGTGGGGCTGCAGGCGGTGAGAGGCCGTTCCGCTCTATTCGTGCTCGGGGCCTGAGTGCACCTGTGGCTTCCAGGCAGAGACAGGGTGTAACAGGGGGGTAGCGCGGGAGTGAGACGTGTCCTGTAGCGGAAGGCGGAGGCAGCGGGCCTTGACCTGCCCATCCCATCCCTGAGGCATCAGTTTGTGCTTCGTCTGCCTCCTGCCTCCGTGGCCGCTCCTTGTGTTCTGTTTGGCAGCAGTTGTGCTCTGCTGCTGCTTCTTCCCTTCTGCTCTCGCTGCTTAGCCCTCCTCCAGACAGCGAAAGCCCCATTTTGAAGCCTGAACCCTCGCTTCGGCTCCGATTTACTCCGTTAGCTTGGGAAACAGCGAGGGATGTGGGTGATGCAGCGACTCGCAGCATTAATCTACAGTCTCCCTCGCCCGTTTTTGATGGGATTTGTGTGTTGGCATAAATTCCATGAACCGGGTTTTTCTTAGCAGTAAAGATAAGAATAGGTTTGGAAAGTGAAAGTAGGTGGGGTTTGGTTTCTGTCTGAAGGTTTTCCTGTGCAGGCTGTACCTTGGTGTTTCCCTGACAGATCAGCTCTATTTTAGGGCACCCGATGCCCTTAAAGTTCTGACCCACCTCAGCTCCAGAGACACGAGGTTATACAAGACACCAGTGAATAAAAACTAAGGTGCAGCTTTGGCAGTGTTTGGCATTCTCATTAGATTTTTCTATACTGCTGTGGTGGTGTTAAATTCCTTATGGCCGGTATCCCTCAGAAAGGCTAAATAATAGATTATTCCAGTAAGATAGGGTCCCATTTTTGTTTATAGAAACAAAGAATTCTATGCTTGCAGAATTACAGAAATTACTTTAGCAATGTCCTATAGGAAGAAGAAAAATAGTATTTTCTGTATATTCTCTGCTCCTGCTTTAACTGAGGCGTCTGATATATTTTATGCCAATTCCTAATTATTACGTTTCCTATCTGTCACATCAGATGTTTTTCCTTTGGCAGTGTGTTGGCTGCTTCAGGGGAGGAAATGGGGCTTGTCTCGAGTATGCTATAAAGATTAAATGATGGGTGAATGTGAAGAGAAGTCTGATTTGCTGAAGAACTAATTTAGTTTTTCTTCTGTGTTTTTTCTGTTTGGTCCAGCACAGCTCTTCTGTTGGTCTGGTAACATCCAGTCCTGTTTGCTTGTATTGTCTTACTCTTTTCCGAGCACAGATTTGCCTGCTGATTGTTTTGTTACCAGTTTAGATGTGGGTTTTGTCCAAGGTCTTTCAACCAGACTGAGAAGCTTCTCAGGGGAAACTGTCTCTTTTTCCCCCTTTATTAATTTCTTCTCTCACCTCTCCCAACTCCACCCAAGCATACAGATGGAAGGAAAGAGTTTAAGCAAAGCCCTTTTGTAGGGGAATGGGAAAACAAAACCCAAATATCACTTAAGTGCTGGGATAGTTGGTAAAATTGTTTTTGCTGCTCAGAAAAGGAACCAGTGTTTTACATGTAATTGAGTTACCTATTTTAATGTGTTACTGGTAAATCAGAATTGCAGGGTTTTATCTATACTTCCATTTTTAGTACACAATTTTCCTGTAACATTAATGCAAACATGAAATGAAAATCCTACTTGGATGCCTTGTTGAGCAGTTTGTTCCATTTCATGACTCCCTAGTTGTGCTTTTTCTACTTATTTTCCAAGCGTGTTTTTGGTGATATGAAATTTGCTGTAATTGCTTTGAAAGAGCAGACTTTAGAGACACGTAGCCATGTGCATTTCAGCTGTTTCATTATATTTGGGTTTTTCTTAATTTGTAGCTAGCAGTAGGAAAAGAATAGAGTTGTCAGAAATGTATGTAAATGAATTCTGGCAGGTTTGAAACCTTGAAATATACATATAATGAGTTTCTAGAATTCACTATTAGTTAAAGGCCATTCTTCAAAGTAAGTTGTTTTGCACTGATGAGCAGGCCATTAGGTGTTGTTGTAGAAGAGTCACAGAAGAACTTTGTTCTTCCTAATTATTGAAGCATTTTAAACCTTCCTTTTCTAAACAGCTAAATTAATACTAAAGTATAACATTGTATTGATTTTCAGATAAGCACCTATGGAGCACAGTTGTCATCAGAAGCTTGCAGAGAGCTGGGCTTCTCCAGTAACTTGCTCTGCAGTTCTTGCAGCCTTCTTGGGCAGTTCAATCTGAATCAGTTGGACCCATTCTGCAGGCAGTGCTGCCAAGAAGAAGCTCAGTTGGAAACTAGAAAGGTAAGTTTTGGAACAAATCCTTTGTGAAATAATTTAACACATTTTGTTACATCTATGAAGCTTTTCATTTTAAAAATATATGACAGTCTGGATTATAATCTCAAGAGGAGTCTAGATGTGCAGACTTGCTATAACATGACTGTATGAGTAGGGAAGTCTTTGGTTCTGTGACAGCCCCTCTCTAGTGTGAAGTGGCTCATAGGAGCTATGTCCAGCTTCTTTAGATTGAAAGATATATGGGATTTGAAGAGGTGAAAAAAAAAAAAAAAATACCATAGACTGGTGTTCTTGATCATGGCTATTGCTTGGTCATTGACCCTAGTGTAATGGCCAGGATATTCAGTTCAGTCCCAAGGAGCAAAGCTGTATGTCATCTTCTGAAGTGACACAAGCTTGACAGAAGGAGGAGTGCTCAACTCTATTCTGCAGTGGTGAGAACAGCTAGGCTCTAACGTCTGAAAATATTGGGAATGATCTTGCGCTGAGCCCATGCTGTGTTTCAGTCAGGCTAATGGAAAACCTTTCCTTTATCTGTAGTAAATAAATATCTACCCAGCTTAAGGTAGATCAAGAAGGAAGAAGTTTTACAGAACTCTTGAAAAGAATACGTGCTTTCAAATATATTGTAATTTAAGATTATTCCAGAATACACTGAAGACCAGTCAGTTACCAGGAAAGTAGGGATTTCAGGAACAAGAGATGCTGAAATTTGTAATGGCTAAGAGGTAGTTAAATAATTGACAACATGAAATGAATGAGGAAATCTAACAGGTTTCTCCCATCAATTAATTCAACATAATATTTAATAAAGTCTGCCTATAATTTTGAACATAATCACTGATTAGTGTTAGATGAAATAAATATCAAGAAGCAAGTGTTTGAGGCTTGCAGAGAATAAATAATCAGTGCATTAATATTAAGAGACTATTAAGGTAAGAGGCAAGACTGTAAACTGTGCTGTTTCATATATTGACAAAAGAATACTTGCAGTAATATTTCAGTACAGTCTTTATGGGATTTGGTATCTATGACTTTTCCTTTGCTAGATACATGAATTTTGGAAAGGAAAGTTGGTCTCTGGAAAATGCCCCAGTATATGTGTGTGTATGTATGTACATATGTATACATATACATACACACAAAAGCTGAAAAGTTTCAGAATAAAATCTAATGGAATGTACTAAAAGGGAATTAAAAAACAAGGAAGGGTCTCCAGCTGTGCTGTGGCTGTGCATGACAACTTGTGACAGTTTGGTGGCAGCAGCAAGGCTTCTTGACCTCGTGTGAGGAGTGGATGCTTTTATTTGTTCAGGTGATATTCTTAGTTTTACCTCAATGTGCATAAGATGTAGCACAAGACTTTGTGCAGCAGGATAATTTCTGTTGTCATTTGGTGGGAAAATAAACTAGAGGAGTTGTGTTGCGTTTCTGTCACATAACCTGAAGGGAAAAAGAAAATCTTTTTGAATTTATCAGTAATTCACTCAAGGGTATAACTGTGTTGTAAACATTACATTCATGAAAGTTGGATCAAACAACAGAATCTAAATCAAAAGATACTGACACTGATGTGCCTCAATCAGAACAAGGTTTCATTGTGTGGGTAATCACACTTTTTGTGTAAGACTAATCAAATGCCATTTTGTGGCATATTTTTAGTCTCAGAACTTTTCTGTTTTAGTCATGCTGAATGCAGTAGAACAAATATTATAGGGCTGGATGGGGTCACAAGATTGTTTGATAAATCCCTTCACAATGAACCAGAATTTGTTGTATGTTCATAGGAACCAAGAGATTGTATAAGTTTTGGGATTTTTAGTCCCTTTGTGTTGGCCTACCCAGTTTCATTTTCTGCTTGTGCTTTTCAGTAAATATGAGCAATCTGCTGCTATAGCACAGTTCCATGTACATCTTGATCGTTACTTTATCTGCTCTTATTTCTGTGACTTTTTTGAAGACATTTAAGACAAATGATACTTGAGATTAGAAGCCAGCACGTTAAGTATTAGCTTGAGTTCTAGGAGTGATTGTGGTACTGTTTTCATGCACTTTCACATCTTGGCTTGAATGCCAGCTTTCCATACTGTGTGTGTGAGTAGAAATAGTGGACTGTTCTAACATGACGGTTATAAGGTTGAGTGCTAAATTATAGCATCATTTCTAGCTTTTTTTTGAATGCTGCTTCGGAAGGGATTTGCTGATTGGGGTTGGTTTTGGTTATTTGAACTTGTACTGAGTAACTCCCCTTGAAGACTACCCAGTAGAAAACTGGTGTTGGGAGAGATTACTGCAAATATTATCTTACCAGATTGTATTCAGAATCCTCACATTTGGGATTGACTTGTGTTTTAACATCATGCTGGTTGTAGGTTGTCTGCAGTTGAGCTTAAAATTTTACTCTTGCATAAAAATTACCAATATAATTTATAGTAGCTTCTGAATACTGTCTTTTGCTATATTTTTCCCTTTCCCTAGCTTTTGTTGTGTTTTTTTTTTTTTAAGGTTACCATAGAAATCTTATTGCTAATGAAAATGTGATAGTTGAGAATGAACGGATGTTAAATATCTTAAAAGTTGGTAGTTAGGGGTTGGGTGTTTTCCTGCCTTCTTGCTTGAGGAATTTTTTTAGTCTTCCTTTTAAAACCTGTATTTAGTTGTAAGATGCCTGACTTGCAGATCATAAACCTTAGATGTTGCTGAGATCCAGAGCAGTGGTGCTGTGGGTTTTGCTAGTGCTGTAACTACGTGCTGGAACATCCTCAAAGTACAGGGGTCTTTTTTCTGCCTTTCTGAACCACAATTCCAGTGGACCTAGCTTGTTCCTTATGTGCGTAGCTATTTGTTCCCATCATGTGACACAGCATGTTTGTAGTCTGTGCTACAGGCAGACTTGCTAATTATTAGAATTCCAGGACAGTCTTCAGGATTGTAGGTTAATTCTCATTGTATGTGGAAAGTGTTAGAAATAGAAAAAGCAAGAGTTAGTTTATAGCATGACTTGCTATAAGCTATGAGTTTGAAATGAGAATTTAAAGATCATTTCTACTTTTCACAGATGAACTGTGAAATACGCCCAGTCCTAAAAATACCTTGTGCCATAGCATCAGTGCAACCTCAAATGAGATGTTTACAGATTTAAACTGTTTTCACACCCTTGATAGATGTCTATTAATCTTCATCTTGTTATTGGTTCAGTGTTCTGTGAATTGATATTGTGGAAAATAGCTGTGAGGTGCTCTTTTTACCCAGAATTTGTCTTGCTCTAAACTTCTGCTGACACCAGGCCAGTGAACATTTCAATTGCTTCAGAATTGTAGTGTGGGCAGAATGGAAGAATAAGTTTGGTTATTTGCTCCTCTTCTAGAGATTTTGTATTCACTTTCAGACTAATTCGGAAGCTGGCTTAAACAGTATTGCTTCAGACAGCTGCAAGTTTTAAGCCTCAGTCTGTCAGATGCAGAGTACTGCTGGTGTGTAAAATGTAGAAGGATGAAATAGAGGTGAAGCTAACTGTGCATGAAATTGTAGTAGCAGGAGAGATTGTCCATATTTTGCAGTAGCTGAAAATAGCTGCACCCCATCTGCAGCTTCACTTGTGCTGCGTGATCATTTCAGACACTGCTATAAGCATATTCCATTAATTGTATATTGTAATCTTAGATTTATCGCAACAATACACATGTGTCAAAATGCAAATTGATTTTAAGAATGAACTCTGTGGTGAAATTTGCAAAACATTAAGTGGCACAGTTGCAGTGTGCAGAATTGCTACAACCCTTAAAGGTCATCAGTATTTCTAAATGGAGCTTCGAAATACGTTTTGCTCACTAAGATGCTTTAAACTTCAGCATTTTAAATTTCTGTTGTCAAGTATTTGTCATGTTCTAATGTTGGGGTCTTTGGTGAACTAGATAATGGGACATTAGGTGTAAGCAAAAGATGGCTAGGAAATTTGAGCCATAAAAATGGATGATTTAGATGACACATTGTCATGGGTAACATCATATGTGTCTATCGTACACTGTTTCTAAATGGCTTTGTTTTACACTAGTCATAAACTAACATGATGATACAGAAGTCTCTATGCATACTTTTAAAGTTCCATAGAGATGGGCAGTAAGTGCTGCACTGTACAAATTTAAGGTCCTGACATTTTTAGCAACTTTCTTGTGCACACATTCAGGGTTGTCAAAATCTGGAAGCTGTCAAAGCATGGTTTAATAATGTATTGGAATACCTGGGCTCTGCACTGCTCAGATAATGAGAACTTTAGGATTACCTTTCAGCAAACTTGTACTAGATGTGAGAATATAAATAACTGGAATATTTCAGAAACCTGAAATGGATTCTTGTGCTACAAGAGGAGAGGCTTCCAACTTAATGTTCTTCCTGCAGCAGTAAATATAAAAGCTTCCTTTCATTTCAGTACGAAAGTATTGTGAAATACTCACTTGAAATAAATGTGGGCAGCTTCAACTTTGGCTATCACTGCTTTACATTCAGATCCCAATTCTACATCTTACCCAAACCTACAATGATTGTCAGTAATTGGCTGCTGTTTGAAAGTTAATGCAAGTCTATGGACATAACCCCATTAGCTGTAGACAAACAGAATGGATGAGATATAGAAAACTGGTATTTAGTGACCTTTAAGTGTTACATGTTCTCAACATTGAAAAATGCTGGAAACGGAGAACAAACTGGCAAGAAAATCCTGAGAATACATCCTAAAACACTTTGGAAAATGGGGGAAAAGGTCAAACCACAGCAGAAGAGCTTCTCCTAGTTTTACAATGGATTTCCACTGTGGGTAAGCATGTCTTCATTAATAGACACATGGCAGCTGGGCATAGGTTGCAGGTTTATTCCCTAGTTGTTACATTGGAACTGGTGCTATGCTTAACCAGGTACTTTGCCTTATCTGCAGAAAGATCAGACCCTGTTTTCACTGCATCAACCTAAGATCCTTATCTTTGCAAGTTGTCAGTATTTGAAATTGC